ATTTGAAGTCCGATATGGGTGAAATATGGGAATGGAAGCGGACACAGTGCGTGAGAAAGACGCGGGGAGTTTTGAGAAGAAAGTTACCGCCATCGGTGTTTCAAACACGTGCGTGTGAATTTTTCTTGGAACTCATGCCCATCGCAATAGCATTCGGATTGACCCTGTTGTTCAGAGCGGGACAGATATTTTAACCTGGTGACGGACTTGTTGAATCGCTTAATTTCCATAGCAAGTCATCTTTTTACATGTTTGAACCAGTGTTCGCCACGGGCCCCAAAATCCCCAGCCCAGCCCGGCCCGGGCCCATGGGTTCAGAGCCCGGCCCAGCCCGTAGCCCGCTCTGGCAAATATGTCCAAGCCCAGCCCGGCCCGGCCCGTCAAAATTAGCAATCTAGTTATTGCCTTAATCTATTGCTATAATAAGCATGATTGATTACACTATTTTGAGAACAATTCAAATTGTATGAACATGTATTAACATGGCAATCATGACTCCCTTCTTTTCAATGAATATAATCATTTCAAGTACCTATGGCACAAATTTTAACACTAACAGCAAGCACCTCAGTCAATTAGGTCATGATTACACACCTATAAAAAGTTTACATGATTATATTAACTACATTCTATGAGTAAAGTCATCTTGCAAGCTGATGTGTGTGAACATCATCATGCATAATTGGTGACTCTAATGCATACTTGAAGGAAGTATTTGCAACTTACTCTATACTTCCCAGCACTTACCAGCAGAAAAAAAGCTTGACTTATGGGAATTGCTGAATCTGTCTGGGATTGACCTTGCTGTTAAATTCACTCCATTGATGCTGCAATATCAAAAGCCTGAGAAAGCATACAAAATAGGTGACACTAGCTTTAGCACTGTCTTCCAAAAAAGAGAAAATCCATCCATTTATCAGCAAAACTGATTTAATCTATTTTCAATTCATGCCCACACGTGTCAACCGAATCCCTGTGGACAACTATCTGCTGCTTTCCTTGCTATTTTATGTTAGGCACTTTTCAAGATATGGATATCGCTAGCAGCGTAAGCAGAAAACATGGTAAGCTTGAAATGTCATTAGGTACTTTTGCGTTTTTTACGCATCATCATCATCGATTGAAAATAAACGAACACTTCTTAATTGTCGCAGCTGCGGCAGGTAGCGATTTTGACCAATTGTATAACAAAACATATATGATCAAGTTTTTATTTTGTTTTTCGTTCGAGTTTTCAGACTTCGTGATTTAGGTTTTATTTTTTATTTGTTTAATTTTGTTTTTCACCTTGATACTTACTTAAAAAACGTATTTATTTGATATACTGTTGTGTATACTACCGATACTACCCAGATGCCGCCACATAAACATAGCGCCGCCTATACGGCCTTGGCGCCGCCATCTCGCAAATTTTGTTGAGAAGGGGCCGGATTGTTGTTGTGAGATTTATTTTGACAAATTTATGGACATTTAAAGAAGCTTTCATCGCGAAATACTCTGTAGAATTCCTCGTTACTTACAGTGTGTTTCGTGAGTATCCTTTTAAGGTTCTGTTCGTTAAAAAGCCGTCGGTGAAGGAAAAAAGACTGTGTTGGAATTGTCTCACTATCGCCATATATAAGTGTTAAACTTAATGTAGCCCTGTAGCCAATCATTGTTGAGTGGCTTCTTAGTTTTTCGAGTTGTAGTGCTAAGTAAGTTATTCTGATAACTACATTTTAACTGTTATTAACAAACTAATGATGCTAGAGATTCTCTTATCTTTTTGGTTGCGGAATTTTTATGAAAGCCCTCCTATGTGTGACATGATGTGATATTGGATGATTCTCAAGATTCCCAAAATTCAATATCAAGTAGGTTTTCTTTCACATTGCTTAAACTTGGTTTAGTTTAAGTATTTTCCCAGTGGGTTTTGTTTGCATCAGTTTCCAAATTTTCTTAAATTGACATAAGTCGCAAAACCCATAGTCCACAAAGCTCTTGGCCCGGCCCGTCCATAGCCCGTTAACTATTGATATTTGGGGGCCCGGCCCAGCCCGTAGCCCAGCCCGGCCCATGGCCCGTTGGGCTGGCCCGGCCCGTGGCGAACACTGGTTTGAACTCATCTTTTTGTTTTTTTTTTGCGTGTTTTAAGAAACTGAGGAAACGGTTGTTTTTTTACGCTGCATTGTTTGAAGTCTATTCATTCCCGGAACCATCTCGACAAGACAGTCGGTTATTTCTTTCTCGGAACCATCTACATCTAACTTACTATTCAAACAGAATCCGTCTGTCTGTGAGTGTGTGTGTGTGTCCGCCACGCCGTGTAGTGGGTTCAATTTGTTACGGCTTGAGGGCGGACGGTATGCCGTAGGAAGTTGAAATTTGCACACCTCATAGGTGACAGAGCGGGTCAGCGCCTTTTCTGGGTTTCCACTCGCTGGGGTGCACAGTTGGCACGTGGCGCGCGCTGGAAGAACGCCAATGAAATTTTGATCGGTTCGTAGATCTTCATTGAGAGCCGGGGTCGACAAACTTTGTGGACTAAATGCATGCCGATCGGCGGCGGGTGCCTCGCATTGGCGGATGGTGAAATTATTGATTTTAATAAATGGTGGCGAAAAAATGTGTTGATTGTCGCTAAATGGGTACAGTTTGTGATAGGAATTTACAAATGCACCGCGTTTGCCGCAAGGCGCCACATTTGTTTCAGGGCGTCATTTTTGCCGCAAATCGCACAGTTTCGTCAAATATGGTCCGATATGGGTGCAATTTGGTGCCAGGATGCATGCTTAATCACCGGGTGAAAATGCGCCGCGTTTGCCGCAATGCGCCACATTTGTCAAAATGCGCCATTTCCGACAAATGCGATTAAGCGTAATGGAATGGCACGAACAGGGGCAGGGTTGGGAACACTTAAAGTCTGATATTTTATTACTGATTGGATCCAATTATTCTGTGACCTGGCATGACCCGGCGGTGTTGGTAGGGGTAGGGGTAGGGGTAGGGGTAGGGGTAGGGGTAGTGGTAGTGGTAGGAGTAGAAGTAGGGGTAGGGGTAGTGGTAGGGGTAGTAGTAGGGGTAGGGGTAGTAGTAGGGGTAGGGGTAGTGGTAGGGGTAGTGGTAGGGGTAGTGGTAGGGGTAGTGGTAGGGGTAGTGGTAGGGGTAGTAGTAGGGGTAGTGGTAGGGGTAGTGGTAGGGGTAGTGGTAGGGGTAGTGGTAGGGGTAGTAGTAGGGATAGGGGTAGGGGTAGTGGTAGGGGTAGGGGTAGTGGTAGTAGTAGTAGTAGGGGTAGGGGTAGTGGTAGGGGTAGTAGTAGGGGTAGGGTAGGGGTAGGGGTAGTGGTAGGGGTAGTGGTAGGGGTAGTGGTAGGGGTAGTGGTAGGGGTAGTGGTAGGGGTAGGGGTAGGGGTAGTGGTAGGGGTAGTAGTAGGGGTAGGGGTAGTAGTAAGGGTAGTGGTAGGGGTAGTGGTAGGGGTAGTGGTAGGGGTAGGGGTAGTGGTGGAGGCAAAAGTAGAACAGGGGTCCGGGCTGATCCCATCAGACCAGAGGTGACCTATGTGACCTGGCCTGACCCAGAGTGACCAGGGCTGACCCCTATGACCCGTCTTGACCCCGTATCAGCCAAATTGTATCCAACAAAGCCCTCAGAGCAGTATTTTTTAAATTCTCTTCACATTTCCGTCCATATCTATGCTTCTAGACGACACATCGACATGAATCAAACACCATTCGAAAGCAAATTGGCTGGTGCCGCAATTTTTTCGTACCACGCAGCAAAGCAAGTGGCGCAGCCGCTTGTCTAACTTACTATTTGAGGAGGGTGCGTCTGTCCGTTACCGAGGTCCCGACTTGGTGGTGCTTTGCGTGGACTACAGGCCAGACCGTTGCACCTAGCCCGGTGAAATTTGCACAACTTATAGATCAAGGATGCGCGACGTGCCTTTGAGGGGTCTTAGCTCGATCGGATTGGTAGTGAGCGCGTGGCGCGTGCTTAAAAAGTGCAAATTCGCGTCATAGACTTTACATGTATAAATCGGCTTGCAAAATCGGGCGAAAATGGCCGAATTTGCCCGACACGGGTCCGATCCCCGTGCAATATCTCGGTAACCCTGGGCCCGATAGGCACGGAGAAAACAGCATCGTGTAGATAATTGAGCGGGCTGTCGAATGGTGTACGATGCAGAGGAAGGCACGTGCCACGTGCACCCGTGAGGGCACTTTTGTTGAAAAAATGCGGTTTTTGACGGATTTTGGAATTGATTTTATTTTTAGGTGACCGTTATACAGACCGAGTTGAAACAACGCCTGTGGGCAAGAGAAATGTACCGCCTCTCATGGGAAAATAGTGAATAGCTAATTGATCGACGCCAAGGTGGTACAAATCACGGGAGAAAATGGTGTTTGTCGATGATGTGCCACTTTATTATTCACACGGGTTTTGCTGTATAACCTGATACGTTTGGCAGTTGAAAATGGTACCGTTGGAAAGAGAATTCAATTCTGCCCAAGGCTCAATCTTCATTTTTACATTATAAGCAACAGTATTCTTAAAAATGTAAATGTTTCAAACCATTACATTGTCATTTTTAGCGAAATTCATCGATGGCACTCAAAAGACTTTACGCCAGTTTTCGAACCATTCTAAGTAGAACGCATGATAATACGACACGGGCACCTCGATGCGATGTATCTTTTTTTTTGTTTTGGCCGTCAAAAAGCATTCGAACGAAATGGATACCAACCAAATCGACACAGACCAACCCAATACCCACGGGTCACAAATAGCCCTTCTTCGCGTTGCGGAGCACGCGGGTAACCCTAGTTATTTCTATAACGCTACGTTGTTTGAGGTAATTTCCTTCGCAGAACACGCTGCCTCAATCAGTACCAAATTCTCATCTCTAGCCGTTCGACTGTTGGGACTCACCCACATACCAAGTATGAATCTCTAGCCGTTCGAGTGTTGGACTCACCCGCATACCAAGTGTGCATCTCTGGCCGTTCGAGTGTTGGACCCACCTGCAGGACGTTCATGACCTTATCGGTCTGCATCATCTTCCACAGCCAGTGGGGCACGTAGAAGCAGAGCGCCTGCAGGAACAGCACGTACGGAACCCACATGTAGTAGTTGTGGTAGACGGTCTCCTCCTCCGGCACGTCGGGACCCAGGCCGCGGTGGGCCACTTGGAGGCCCTCCTGTAGGGGAGAGCGCGGGGGGGGGAGGGGGCGTCAGACAGGCGCGGTGGTAGTCGTGGAGGACTGGATGTTAATAAGTCTTCGACACTTTCTGAAGGCAAACCACCAGTTCAGCAGCCGCTCATTACGACTGAGTCGGTAGTAGCATTAGGCAACAATGTCAATGTCAGACCATTAGAAAACTGGCTAACTACAACAAAATATCTGATATTTTGAGCATCCATTAAAAAACGTTTTGCTTTTAATTTGTTTTCCATTGAAGATGTGCATTGCAGTGTAGCTTGAGTCTAGCTTTTAGAGCATCTCTTACATATGTATTTATTGATGATTTTCATTATGACGGGGATAACCCCGTTCTAACTTTTGTTTACCACTAGCAAATAATTCGTTAAACCCCTCAATCTGTACTTGTAAATTTCCCCTTCCGATGATCAATATTTGACGATAGGTCACCACGCGGCACGATGATAGCACACGGGAAATTTACTTCGATTTTCAAGTGATGTCTCATTTGAATATCATTGGCTTCGTTCGTATGCTGAATTACACCGGACAATAATTATCTTCGTGCAGCGGACATCATCATTTAACCCGCGCCCGGCTGGGGGTCCTGGATTTCCACGCCCTGCTGGGGGGGGGGGGTGTTTGAACACCCCCCTTGTAACTCGGCTCCTGGGCCACGTAGCGATACGCGGAAGGCGGCGTTCGAAAGAGCGTCAAAAATAATGACGAAATCACTTCGGTCAATTTTTTGGTCAGGTCAAAGGTCAGGTCACCAGAGGTCATTGAAGGCAAAATTTCGCCGATTTCCAGGTCGAATGTCGAAAATTTCCAAGAAGCCAACGCATAACTCGAGAACCAATAGAGCTACAGCGCCGCGGAAAAGCGCATTCGATAGCCCTATTAAAGTCCTTTCTGAGTAATTCTCTCAGATTTGACCTAACGTCAACGGTTTTGCCTGCAGGGGGCAAAAACTGCAAAAATAGCCGATTTTTTCGGAAACAGTTTTTCTGCAATAACTTTTGACTCAAGCCTTGTACGAGCTTACTTTTACCAACATCGTGTTCCTCTCGTCAAGACGCATCGAATGAACTATAACTTGACCTTGAAAGGTCAACTTGAAAATTTGACCTCAGGTCAAGGTCATGACCTGACCAGAAAGGGTCATGTTGCATATCAGTCGATCCGTATCGTCGAGCTGAACACATCTAAGGCGTTTTCATCGCTCTAGCATGCCTCTATCAAAAGTTATTTGCGAAAAACTGTTAGATACCATTCGTGACCTTAGATGACCTCAGGGCATAAACAAGGGTCACGGACACCATTTTCATGTTCAGTGTGTCTAAACCACTTGTAATGCGGTGCTTGGGAGTGTTTATAATGTCTTTTGTCCAAAAGAGGCGCATTTCAATTTTCTCCCATTGACTTATAATGGGGAGGTCGCAAAATTGACCTGACCTTAGGTCATCGATATCAAAATTCTGAGATATAAATTTTGTACATGCTATTGCTCTTAGCAATCGCTGAAAGTTTCAAAGCGATCGGTCACTCGGTGTAGCTATGACAGACATTGAAACTTTTTATGAGGTGAGGTCACTTCAAGTGACCTGGTGACCTGACCTTGAATGACCTTGGTCTGAAATTTTCACAAAATGTGTAGAATTGATGTATGATAAGGTGTACCAAAAACGGCGGCGCTCCGCGCCGCCGTTTTTGAGATATTTGCGAAAAACCACAAGGGGGGGGGGTGTTCAAACACCCCCCCCCCCCAGCAGGGCGCGGGTTAACGAAACCGGATTGCAGAGCCGGGCAATAACGGACTTTGGATCGTGTTACTATGGTTGCATCATTTACTTTTGTTTGATTTCCGGTCTCGGAAAGCAGGTTGACAACCACTTCCTATCGCACAGAACCTAGAACGAGCTATCAATCACTACAGGCTTAGTTCATGAGCCAGCGTCGGTCTTATGAATCCTAGATGACGCTCCAGTTTTCCCACAAGTGACGTGGCTATCTATGTTGCCCTTTGGTCGCACACCGCATGGTGACGGCCCTGTTCCTGCAAACTAGCGCTGCTACACATCATTGCAGGTAACAGTGTGACTGGCTCAACTCACGATTAGTTGAAGCAATAATTTCATTCGAAAGTCAATTGGTGGCAGCGATCTTCGCTAGCGAAACATGGTTGCTAGTTCAATAGGAATTGTCATGAGTTCAATAGGAGTTCAATAGGAGTTCAATAGCTAGTTCAATAGGAGCCACTGGGCTCAAGCTCCGTTTTAACCCCCGGAGCTTGGGCCTCAAGGGTTACAGATCACTGTCATTTGTAAACTATCTTCCTACAGATCATAGAGGGTAGTAGACGAATGCGAAACCATGAATTGCCCACTTTTAGGGCTAAGTGTTAAAGCTTAAACGCCTCCTCAAAATATAAGTTATTTTTTAAATGGTTCAGCTTTGAGAAATGGACACAAGATTGTGATTTTGTTGTGGTGGGTGAGCTGCAGTTAGAAGTACCTAAGTCTAAATTCAGCTGTCGCCTCTACATTGCTTCTATCAGCGCCAGGCACCCGCTGTGCCCGTCCACGGTGGTCTCACCTGCATGTCTTTGGTGGACGGCAGCGTATAGGTGCTGGAGATGAAGCAGTACGTGTCGATGACCTTCTGCGAGAGCGAGTCCTTGTCCACCAGACAGGCGATCTTGTCTCCGAGGTACTGGGTGGCCGTCACCAGCAGACAGCACGCCATTATGAAGACAAACGTCGTCCGGTAGTGCATGCGGAAGATGAAGCTGTCCCCGCGCGGCTTGGTGCGCGACGAGAACAGCTTCGTCTGGGACGAGAGCGGTCCGAGAACGCCCAACATCGGGCTGCCCGATTTGATTGCCGACTGTGAAAGAGGTGAAACACGGTGCTGTGATAGCTGCAAGGGCTGGACGGGAACTGTGTGGTGTGACTCTGGGCACTATCGAAGTTGACTGCAGCCGCCTACCTGGTAAGCTACGCTAATGTTGATTTAACCCGCGCCCTGCTGGGGGGGGGGGTGTTTGAACACCCCCCCCTTGTGGTTTTTCGCGAATATCTCAAAAACGGCGGCGCGGAGCGCCGCCGTTTTTGGTACACCTTATCATACATCGATTCTACACATGTTGTAAAAATTTCAGACCAAGGCCATTCAAGGTCAGGTCACCAGATCACTTGAAGTGACCTCACCTCATAAAAAGTTTCAATGTATGTCATAGCTACACCGAGTGACCGATCGCTTTGAAACTTTCAGCGATTGCTAAGAGCAATAGCATGTACAAAACGTATATCTCAGAATTTTGATATCGATGACCTAAGGTCAGGTCAATTTTGCGACCTCCCCATTATAAGTCAATGGGAGAAAATTGAAATGCGCCTCTTTTGGACGAAAGACATTTTCACACAACACTCCCAAACACTGAATTACAAGTGGTTTAGACACACTTAACATGAAAATGGTGTCCGTGACCCCTGTTTATGCCCTGAGGTCATCTTAGGTCACGAATGGTATCTAACAGTTTTTCGCAAATAACTTTTGATAGAGGCATGCTAGAGCGATGAAAACGCCTTAGATGTGTTCAGCTCGACGATACGAATCGACTGATATGCAACATGACCCTTTCAGGTCAGGTCATGACCTTGACCTGAGGTCAAATTTTCAAGTTGACCTTTCAAGGTCAAGTTATAGTTCATTCGATGCGTCTTGACGAGAGGAACACGATGTCGGTAAAAGTAAGCTCGTGCAAGGCTTGGGTCAAAAGTTATTGCAGAAAAACTGTTTCCGAAAAAATCGGCTATTTTTGCAGTTTTTGCTCCCTGCAGGCAAAACCGTTGACGTTAGGTCAAATCTGAGAGAATTGCTCAGAAAGGGCGTTAATAGGGCTATCGAATGCGCTTTTCCGCGGCGCTGTAGCTCTATTGGTTCCCGAGTTATGCGTTGGTATCTTGGAAATTGTCGACATTCGACCTGGAAACCGGCGAAATTTTGCCTTCAATGACCTCTGGTGACCTGACCTTTGACCTGACCAAAAAAAAATGACCGAAGTGATTTCGTCATTATTTTTGACGCTCTTTCGAACGCCGCCTTCCGCGTATCGCTACGTGGCCCAGGAGCCGAGTTAGAAGGGGGGGGGGTGTTCAGACACCCCCCCCCCCCCCACCCAGCAGGGCGTGGAAATCCAGGCCCCCCAGCCGGGCGCGGGTTAACTCTGAATGTTGAGATATCGATAGCCCTGTGTAGTAACATGGCTGGTAGGTATGTAAACTGGGTGTGTCGCCCCCCTCTGGCAAAGATCTCATTAAGCAATATTTCCCTGTTCGGTCTTCACCTTCGGGCTGCAGTGACGTCACAAGGCAATATTAGCGTCGCAAAATCGTGACCACAGCCGGCCGGCCGGCCGCTCATACTCAGAAATTTCCGTTAATCTAAGGAAAGACTCCGCTCGCTTCGCTCGCTCCGTAACCACTGGACGTATTAACACGAAACTTGCAATCAATACCTTCGGCTGCATCAATCACTTTGCCATCTTGTTTGCAATTAAAGTTTCGCAGCTAACATAAGTCGGCCGGAAATGACATCAAAGTGACGTCATGCTCGGCTGTTTTTGATTAAGAGCATTGAACCACGGCAGTCGCTCTCAAGAGCTGAGTTTTTTAAGCTAGGTCCAATTTCTTAGCGAGAGGACTCAAAATATGAAGGGCTATCAAACTGCTATCCTGGATTTAAAAGGCTAAAGATTTTCAGAGGTGTACATACCAGTAAAACGCCTTTTGGGCGAAGAACGAGCGAGCGAGATAGTGAGCCCTGCACGTGCGGAAGGGCGAGATGGTGCTTCCAGCGGGCTTGTGCAAAGCACCCTTCTAACCGGTCGCTAGCGGTGTGCCAAATTTGAACGCAATCGGCCCAGCCGTTCCTGAGATCTGGAAGCGGCATTCTGCACGTGCGCACGTGCAAACGGGGTCCAAAATGACTTTTGCACGGCACCCTACTAACTGGTCCCCAACCGTGTACCAAATTTGAGCGCAATCGGCCCAGCCGTTCTCGAGATCTGGAAACGCCCCCTGCACGTGCGCACGTGCAGTAGCACCCTAACCGCAACACATGGGAATGCATTGCCTGGTGGGTGCCTACCTGTATGCAAACTTTCAGCGAAATCGCCCCAGTAATTACCGAGTTACTGAAATGGGAACAAATTTGGCACCTCTTATTGTTGTATTTTGCACGTGCACTGGGGGTGACCCACATACATCGAAAGTATCCTACTTTGGGTAGAAGGGATGCTGCTACCCTACAAAATATACCGCAAGTCAATCGCCCAAGCGGCTGCTGAGATATGAGCCTCTCAAAATCACTGCTTTTGCAAAACAGCTTGAACACCCTTGACTTTTCACGTGGCACGTGCCGCGACGGTCACTGAGATGTTTCAAAAGTAGTCAATTACGGGGTAGAAGGGATGGGGCTACCCAACAAAAAAGACCGCAGGCCAATCGGTCCAGCGGTTGCTGAGATATAAGCCTCTCAAAAGCGTTACGGGCCGGGCCGGGCCGGGCCGGGCCGGGCCGGGCCGGGCCGGGCCGGGCCGGGCCGCTCATACTGAGATTTTTCCGTTATATTGAAAAGACTCACTTCGCTCGCTGCGCTCGCTCGCTCGTAATAAAATGTCAAAAATTATATGTTTTTCATATAAGTTTTTTACTTTTTGAAAAAGCGGTATTAGGGTATGTGATGGAACGCATACCGATGATCTACTCGAGGAAATTTGTTCCGATATCTTTATACCTCGCTTTGTAGTTAATTTTTTAACAATGTCAATTTTCATATAAATTTTTAGTACATTTTCAACATCGCGCACCGATGTTAATAGCTTTATCGTGTTCCTGAGCTCAAACTGAATCTGACTTTTTCTTTGAAAAATCTCCACCTCAAATTTTGACCTTTTTGGCCTGAAAGTGACCTGACCTCAGCTTTATCCAGCTGAAAATGGCCTCAAATGACACGACCGACACTGTTTTCGAGATCTATGGCTGAATAGACCATCAAAACATGTGTCAGGCGACCGATGCATCCTATGAAATTTCCGTGACCTAGAATGATCTGGCCTTGATTTGAAAAAAAAATCGAAATACAAGTTTGTTGCCGTCAGGGTACCTATAAAATGAAGTAAAAATGAGCCTGATCTTACTTGTTAGCCGGGGTTCAGAGCCCAAATTGTGAACAAGCCAAAATGTTGATAATTTTTTACTTTGACCTGACCTTTGACTTTATCGGTGACTTCGAGGTCAATAGAGTTAGGTTTCGATCGACAGTTTGTCCGGGGTAATCAGATACCGTTTGAATTTATAACATCGGGCCAGTAGTTTCGGAGATAGAAAGGGGGCTCGGTAGTTCCCCAGTCAGTCGGCAGTTCCCCTTCCCCCCAGTCAGCCGTGAGCCGCGTTGTGGAAAATGCCCCTGTCAAAGAGAAGAGCCAGGCACCAACCCTAGCCAGGCAAGGATTGATCTTGGTCGCTGGTGTGCGTTTTCTGAGATATTCTTTGCAAAAATATGAGGAATGATTTGTTTTGCTTGAAAAATTCATTGATTCATTTCATTTTCTTTGCTTAGTACGAGGACTGTTGCCCTATCGTAGCCCAATAGGGTGAGGCTGGGGACGTTTTCTGGCCATGCAGCGACACACGAAAAGCGTTGTAAAAAGATTCGTCAGAAGTCGTTGTCAAATAACTTTACATAGGCCAGGTCGAAAGTCACGTTACCGGGGTCATCGATGGATAAAGTGTTTCAACTTTTAGTTCTTAGACAAATTAACCCGCGCCCTGCTGGGGGGGGGGGTGTTTGAACACCCCCCTTGTGGTTTTTCGCGAATATCTCAAAAACGGCGGCGCAGAGCGCCGCCGTTTTTGGTACACCTTTTCATACATCAATTCTACACATGTTGTAAAAATTTCAGACCAAGGTCATTCAAGGTCAGGTCACCAGGTCACTTGAAGTGACCTCACCTCATAAAAAGTTTCAATGTCTGTCATAGCTACACCAAGTGACCGATCGCTTTGAAACTTTCAGCGATTGCTAAGAGCAATAGCATGTACAAAATGCATATCTCAGAATTTTGATATCGGTGACCTAAGGTCAGGTCAATTTTGCGACCTCCCCATTATAAGTCAATGGGAGAAAATTGAAATGCGCCTCTTTTGGACGAAAGACATTATAAACACTCCCAAACACTGAATTACAAGTGGTTTAGACACACTGAACATGAAAATGGTGTCCGTGACCCCTGTTTATGCCCTGAGGTCATCTTAGGTCACGAATGGTATCTAACAGTTTTTTTCGCAAATAACTTTTGATAGAGGCATGCTAGAGCGATGAAAACACCTTAGATGTGTTCAACTCGACGATACGGATCGACTGATATGCAACATGACCCTTTCCGGTCAGGTCATGACCTTGACTTGAGGTCAAATTTTCAAGTTGACCTTTCAAGGTCAAGTTATAGTTCATTCGATGCGTCTTGACGAGAGGAACACGATGCCGGTAAAAGTAAGCTCGTACAAAGCTTGGGTCAAAAGTTATTGCAGAAAAACTGTTTCCGAAAAATCGGCTATTTTTGCAGTTTTTGCCCCCTGCAGGCAAAACCGTTGACGTTAGGTCAAATCTGAGAGAATTACTCAGAAAGGGCGTTAATAGGGCTATCAAATGCGCTTTTCCCCGGCGCGGTAGCTCTATTGGTTCCCGAGTTATGCGTTGGCTTCTTGGAAATTGTCGACATTCGACCTGGAAATCGGCGAAATTTTGCCTTCAATGACCTCTGGTGACCTGACCTTTGACCTGACCAAAAAATTGACCGAAGTGATTTCCTCATTATTTTT